ATCATAATATTATCATGGTTCGTCGGGACTTGTAGCACTTTAAAAAGTATTTATTTTGGGTTTTTTAGGTTTTATATAAAAAAAATGATTCCTACAAATCATAATCTAAGAGCTTACGAATTCAGTCCTTTTTTTTTGAAATTTCAATCAAACTTCAGGAAGTAGGTTGAATTTACTACCGTTTTTGGTAGTTTTTATTGGTGTTGCATAAAAGAATATATTTCGTTTTTCTCGATTTATTAACACGAGCGTGCGCGTTCGAAAGTGGCATTCACGGGCGGCTCGCGACTGCCGAACRTATCTATTACGTATACACTAATGATAATAATTTACTTCGCAAACAATCACAATCGGTAACGAGTATGAGAAATTKAATTGCTTATACACAATCCCTTATTAAATCACTGCAACCAATCCCCTTCAATAGAAATAAGCACTTCGTGCAAATTTAATTTTAGATTTTGTCCATTTTTTTGAATAAAATTTGAATTATTTGTTTAATTTTTGGAAATTAATTATATCTGTAGTGAAAAATGTTTATAAAATATATAAYTTACCACAATCCTCGAAATCTATGAAATATCGTATTATTTTGAATATACTGTACTTTTAAACGTGTACACCTAATTTTATAAATKCCTATTTCTAAATATACTGATAATATGCAACATTCCGTTATAACTGCAAGTTTTTTGTAGGTACTGTTGACTACTTACGTGGTWATAAAAAAACATAGAAATATAAATGTTGTKATCGTGCAAATACAATAATTTACCTAGCTAAGTACTATACCTATGTAATAACAATGTACGGTGTTTTGTGCGCAGGATTAACGATTACCGATACTCCGTCGAAAACTTTTCAGTCGGTTAATAATACTTCAAACGTCAAACCAGCTGATAATATTACAACCGTTGAGCCAACAACACCAACACCGACCGAGATGCCCATGCTCACCTGTTACTGCAATCTGCCCGAGTGTTTGGTAGCCGCCGGGGGAGATGGAACTTGCTCCACCCGGCTTGGCTGTTATTCTGAAGTTCAACCCATTATTCCTGTAATCGAAGAAGAAATCATGATCCCGGTCAAAAACGAATCAATCAAAACCTCTAATGGCTCAGCTGTTTCTCCAATCATTCCTGAATTAGAAAAGACCCCGGTTTCTGTAACCATCGGACATCCAGCAACCATCAGGGGATCATTTGGATGTTTGGATCAGTTATACGTCGCGTGAGTTTATATTATATAATGATAAGAATATATATATATGCTTACATAATAATATGTATATCATACACGTTTTTCATTTGCCGTGGTGGTTCCAGGATTGATAATTTATGCAGGGCCATGTGTTCCAACTTATACATAATATCAACTAAAAAATTTTAATATTTAATCGTATAGATTTACATATGTCTTTGTATGTACCTATTTTTATTAAGTAAACGGATTTTTAAACACATATACATCCTTATGGTGTATTTAAATTAAGGTAAAATCGTCAATGGAGGGTTATGAGAGGTTATAAAACATATTGGAACTTACCCATCCCGTCTCATAATACAAAAATAAACTGGACCTTCCACGGCTGCTTTCTCGCAACTATGCGATCGCATGTTCGCACGTTGCATTTCATAATAATACATTATATTAATACATCACATTGGTCATTTCACCTCAATTCGAGTCGCTCATTCTATACACGCTTATATTATTTTGTAATATTATGGGGTAGACTAGATCAGTGTCATAGTGACGTTACCTAGAGAAAAATTCATTTTGT